TACCTCTCAATAGAACATGTAAATAGAAAAAATAGTGAGGATATTGAAGACTTAAAGAACATTATCACCAACTTGACCTAATTGATATTTGTAAAACTATTCGACCCAAGAAGAGTAAAACACACATTCTTTTCAAATGAACCCAGAACATTCACCCAGACAGACAATAATTCCAGACCCTAAAACACATCAGTAAATTGAAAAGGATTCAAGTCATACAAAATAAGTTTTCTAACCAGAATGGATTTAAATCAATAACAGAAAAATAACTAGAAAACACTCAAATATTTAGACCAAAAGAGGACACTTTTCAGTAACCCATATTTCTAAGAAGAAATAAGACAGAAAAATAAGTATTTTTAGTTGAATGAAACTTAGAACAAAGCATATCAAAATGCATGAGATATGCCACAGTACTTACAAAGAAATACAGTGGCACTAAATGCCAATGTTAAAAAAGAAATGACTCAAATCAATGACTCTATTTTTCACCTAACAAATTAGAAAAAGAAGAACAATGAAACCCAAAGTTAACACAAGAATGGAAATAATGAAAATCAGAATGTAAGCTAATGAGATAGAAACCTGAAAAACAAAAGGTGATTTTTTTGAGAAGGTCAATGAAACGAATAAATTGCAGACTGTTAAAGAACAAAAGACATTATACAAGTTATCAGTATCTGGTAAGGCAGATGTGGCATCACTACAAATGATATAGTTATTAAATGAATAAAAGAATGTTATGAACTTTATGCAAATAATTTGACAATTTAAAAATACTTGAAGGAAGCTAACAAGGTTTACTGAAGAAATATTTAGTTTTATATCTATTAGAAAAATGGAACTTTTAATTCAAACCTTCCAAATCTTTTCAGATATCTTTGTTTACTGCGACTTTAATTCTGTTATAGTCAAGGAATATAGTTTAGAACATTTTAAATTTATTAATATTTATACTCTGTCTTGGTGAATGTTTCATGAACACTTCAAAAGAATTTGTACCCTGCCTGGGTTGTTTGTAATGTTTTATATTAATAAATGTCAACTAGGTCAAACTGGTTGATTATGTTGTTGAGGTCTTCTATATCCTTACAGATTTTTTGTCTACTTGTTCTATTAATTACCAAGAGGAGGAATGAAGTCTCCAATGACAATTGTCAATTTGTCTTTTTCTCTTATCAGTTCTATCATTTTTCCTTTGCAATTCAATGTGTACTCATTTAGAATTACATTTCCCTGGCCAGGTGTGGTGGCTCACATCTGTAATCCCAGCACTTTGGAAGGCTGAGGTGGGCGGATCACGTGAGGTCAGGAGTTCGACACCATCCTGGCCAATGTGGTAAAACCCTGTCTCTACTAAAAATACAAAAATTAGCCAGGCATGATGGCTAATAGTGCCTGTAGTTCCAGCTACTCAGGAGGCTGAGGCAGGAGAATCACTTGAAGCCAGGAGACGGAGGTTGCAATAAGCCAAGGTCACACCATTGCACTCCAGCCTGGGGGACAAGAGCAAGACTCTGTCTCAAAATAAAAAATAAATTTTCCCAGTAAATGGACCCTTTTATCATTATGATATCTCACTTTTATCCCTGATTGTACTTGTTCTGAAGTCTACTTCATCTGATAATAATACAGTCATTTCTGCTTTTTTGTTTATGTTTACACGTTGTATCTTTTTCCCACCATTTAACTTTTAATTTAACGATGGCTTTATATTTACAGTGTGTTTCTGGTAGACAGCATATAGTTGGATACTGCTTTACCGTTCATAGAAGCATTTTTAACTGGTATACTTAGATCACTGACATTTAATATTTTTAAATATACAGATTCATATCTATCCATCTTGTTAACTCTATCCTAATTGTTCTATCTGTTCTTTGGTTTTTGTTCAATTTTTGCCTTCTATAGTCTAAATGAACATTTTTAATGATTCTATTTTATATTAACTTATTGTTTACTTCTCATTAAACATTTTCAATGGTTATTACTTTACATCCTTAATTGGAATATACATTCAAATAATATACAAATTAACACATTAAGATCTTATATATTCCCATGTTCTCCCCATTATGCTTCTGTCATATTTTACTTTTATATGCTGCAAACACATGGTACATTTTTACTCTAAGACAGCCAGTTACTGTGTTTTTAAAGTTATTACCTTCATGTATTCAGTTGCCACATCTCTTCATTTCTTTGTGTATCTCCAAGTGTCTGCTGTGTTTCATATTCCTTGTTTGAGGAACTTTTCTTGTAGAGTAGGTCTTCTCTGAGAGTATTTCTCTATCAATTTGAAAGAGTTTCATGAACATTTTGTGAAAACAGATGTTTTTTCTTTCAGCTCTTAAAAGATGTCATTACATTGTCCTTGGGCCTGTAATACTTTTAAGTCTGCTGTAATTTTCTTAACTTTGTTCCTCTATGTGTAATTTTTCCCCCTCTCTGGCTTGCTTCAAAAATTTTTTCCCAGCAGTTTGAACATAATACTCTTATTACTGTTTGCCATTATTCTAAAATCTGTAATTTTCTCCTGGCCTTCAGTAGCTTTCCCACTTTTGTGTGCTTAATAAATTCATGTTCTTCCTTTAATACTATCTACAAAAACAATTCCTGTCCCCATACCTTCATCACAATGAAGTTTATCATCCTCTTCTCTGTACTACCTATGCACTTCATACAGATTTCCATATTTTGTTACCTGAATTCCCTGGTAAACTCCAAGTGTCTGTTGGCAAGAACAGTATCTTATTAGTTTGCATATCCCCAGGATTTAGTAGTGATTGGTCCAGTGTATCTACATGCACAACAGATGTGCAGCTAAAATGTTTGCTAATGAAACTTCGAAATCTATAGGTATCTATTAAAAGCAAAATACGTTAATAATGGGCTCTCCTACAACAGTCTAGGAATAAAACATTTTTCCTGCCAGTTAAGTTTTCAGGACTTTAAAAAAACCACAAAGTTGATTTCCTTCTTAGTTTGGATATATTTTTAAAATTCATGTAATGCAAAATAATTTAAATAAATTGTTTATCCTATTAGAATATAACCAAGTTCCAAGTAGTTGGGAGGACACATGAACCCAAAGTTACTTTACCTTTATGGCACTTTCACAAATGCCTTTAAGAGATGAAGAATAGGACAGAATAGACAAAAATATAGGAAATGAGTATTTTTGACTACGCCAGAAATAAAGCAGTGAGGATATGCCATTCTCACAAGTAATTCCAAGTTAAGTTTATCTTTATCATGTATTGCCATTCTAATGCTCTCTTGAAGTCCAAAGAGGTGCAAGAAATGCAATAGACAATGAGATAAGCCTAAGGAAGCTATGTGACTGAGGGCAGGGCATCCTTTTGCTCCTCCCCAGTCTTCAGGTGTGTCACAGTTCATTTGGGAATGACATGTATGGTAGACTGGCAGAGGAATTAACAAGCTAGAGGGTATGTGTGGAAAAGGGAGGAAAAAGACATGCTTCTCCATGAGTTACTTCTGTGCTGTTTGCTCACCCATTTGCTCCAAGGGGTGGATTTTTAAGCTTGCTTTACAAATCGAAAGAAGTTTAAATGGGAAGTTAGTTGTACTATCCTGTATGCATGCTCGCCCCTCACAATTTGGATTGTTGTTTTCTTAGTTGTAGTCAAAGTTAGAATGACCTCACCCATGTATATTCCACAAAGTAACCTTAACAAACTTTAGGTATTCTCAAAAATAGCTTTTACAGAAAGAAAACTTACACAGAAGAGCCCACCTGTATACGATCCAATTACAAAAAAGATCTCTGATTTTATTTCTTATATATTTTGCACAAACAGGAAAGAGAGACTGAAAGCTACTACACATGTTGAACTGCTGACAGGAAAAGAACCCAGTATATAAATCTAGAGTTTCCCCTCCATGTATTACCTTGGGCTACTATAACAAAACATCATAGACTGGGTGGCTTAAGCAACAATTTACTTCTCACAGTTGTAAAGCCTGGAAATCTGAGAACAGGGTGCCAGCATGGTTAAATTCTTGTTAGGGCTCTCTTCCTGTTTTGTAGACAGCTGACTTCTTGCTGCATCCTCACATGGAACAGAGAGGAAGCAGGCTTTCTGATGTCTCCTCTTATAAAGGCACTAATCCCATCATGAGGGCTTTACCCTTATGACCTCATCTAATACTAACTGCCTCCCAAATGCCTCATTTCCAAGTACTATCACATTGATGGTTAGGACTTTAACATAATACATTTTGGAGGGGAGGACACAAACATTCACTCCATAACTCATACTACACCAATCACTTATTGCATACCAGTATTGTTACATGAAAATACCAATGTTTATTCATATAAATATAGATGATTTATTTCCACATAAAACAATACTAATTTCTCCTGGCTCCGAAATCCTCATTCTTCATTATATCTTTTTGTTTGTTTTTTTGAGACAAAGTTTTGCTCTTTTTGTCCAGGCTAGCGTGCAATGGCACAATCTCAGCTCACTGCAACCTCCGCATCCCAGGTTCAAGCGATTCTCCTGCCTCAGTCTCCCAAGTAGCTGGGATTATAGGCATGTGCCACCACTCCCAGCTAATTTTGTATATTTAGTAGAGATGAGGTTTCACCACGTTGGTCAGGCTGGTCTTGAACTCCTCACCTCAGGTGATCTGCCCACCTTGGCCTCCCAAAGTGCTGGGATTACAGGCATGAGCCACCATGCCCAGCCTTCTTCACTGTATCTTGGTTCTTTTACTGTTGGCTTGCCTCAGCTATATTAGATGTTCAAACCATGAAGATCATATATCCTCATGTCCATGGAGATGGTACAGTAAGGTATCTACTGCTATACACCATTATGAGTGATACCTTTATCTACCTAAAGAGTCACTTTTCTTTATCTCACCCCCAAGTGTGTCAGCTGAAAGTGGCACCCTGTTTTGTCAAGAAGTTCCTTATATTTGATAGTTCTAGATCTGAGAAACAGACTCAAATTCTTTTTTCTGTGACCATAAATCAGGGTCAAAGCCCCATAATGGACTTCACAATTCTACTTTGTTATATGTGATCAATGAATTATCTTTAAAACTATGTTGGAAGTAAAATATCAATAATCATTTGATATTTATGACACAGAGTCTTGCTCTGTCTCCTATGCTGGAGTGCAGTGGTGCAATCTCAGCCTGCAACCTCCACCTCCTGGGCTCAAGCAATTCTCCTGCCCCAGCCTCTCTAGTAGCTGGAATTACAGGTGCGCGCCACTGCACCCAGCTAATTTTTGTATTTTTTAGTAGAGATGGGGTTTCAACAGTTGGTCAGACTGGTCTCAAACTCCTGACTTTATGATCCGCCTGCCTCAGCTTTTCAAAGTGCTGGGTTACAGGTGTGAGCCACCATGCCTGGCCAGTAATTCTTATCAAATGAAAAATGGTCTTCATTCACAATGACTGACCAAACTTCTGAGTTTCCTTCAGTTAATTTCAAATCCTGAGGTCAAAATCATCAATGACTTTTGCTCTTTGGCTTTCAAAGTAGGACACATCACCAAAAGGTCCCATATACACAAAATTTACATTATAGACAAAGACGTATTTGCCATATCTTTGATAGATTTAAAACAATTTTAGGCTTTTTCTTCAGAATGTGTACTCTGATGTCGAATCAGGGATGAACTCCGACTATATGCCTTCCCACATTTACTACATTCATACGGCTTCTCTGAAGAATGACTTCTCTGATGTCGAATAAGGTCTGACCCACTACTAAATGCCTTCCCACATTCATTACATTCATAGGGTTTCTCTCCAGTATGACTTCTTTCATGTAGAATAAGAGATGTGCGCTGACTAAAGGCTTTACCACATGTTTTGCATGTATATGGCTTCTCTCCAGTGTGAATTCTTTCATGTTGGGCAAGGTGTGCACTCTGGCTGAAGGCCTTCCCACACTGATCACATTCATAGGGTCTGTCTTCAGTATGAATTCTCTTATGTCGAGTGAGAGATATTCGGTGACTGAAGGCTTTTCCACATTCCTCGCACTGGTAGGGTTTTTCTCCAGTATGAATTCTTTGATGTTCAATAAGAAATGATTGGCGGCCAAAAACTTTACTACATTTATTGCATTTGAAAGGTTTCTCCTCAGAATGAATGTTCTGATGTATTTTAAGGTTTGCAGTTCCAGAAAACATCTTCCCACATTCCTTACACTCAAATAGTTTCTTTTTCCTTGTATGAACTTTCTGATGTTGAATAAGGGATGAATGCCGATTGCAGACCTTCTCACATTTATTACATTTGTATAGTTTTTCTCCATTATGAATTCTTAGATGCAGAATAAGGGTTGAAAGCCGCCTGAAGAACTTGTCACATTTATTACATTTATATGGTTTCTCTGAAGTGTGAATTCTCTGGTGAAGCATAAGGGGTGAAATCCTATTAAAGAATTTCCCACATTTTCTGCATTTATAAGGATTCTCTAAATGGTGACTTCTTTGCTGTAGACTCTGACTTAAGGCCTTCACACTTTCAGGGGTTTTCTCTCCAGCGTAAATTCTTTTATGTATAACAAAGACTGATTTCTTTTTGAAGCCTCTCCCACATTTATTATATTTATGTGTTTTCTTTCCATTATGAATTTTCTTATGAAGTAAAAGGGATGACATGTGACTGAAGGCTTTCCCGCACTTTCTGCACTGGCAGACATTCCCAACTATGTGAGTTTTCTGATGTGTACTGAAAGACTGACACTGACTCAAGGCCTTCCCACAGTCAAGAGTTTCCTTTCCATCATGAATTCTCCTATGTAGAATAAAAGTTGTTCTTTGATTGAAGCTTTCCCCACATTTATCGCATTCATGGCTTTTCTTTCCATTGTGAATTCTCTGATGAAGTATGAGGGATGAGATTTGTCTGAAAGCTTTTTTACAATTACTGCATTCAAACGGCTTCTCTCCAGTATGAATGTTCTGATGAAGTTTAAGAGAGAAGCTTCGACTAAAGGTTTTACCACAGTCATTACATTTTAAAGGTTTCTTCCCTGAATGCCCTGTCTTAGGTTTTATTAGGACTAAATTTTGATTGCAGCCACTCTTTCGTGTAGCAACTTTTTGTTGTGCAGAAACTGGTTTCTGGCAGATTCTTTGCCCAGATTTGTAGCATTGATTTGGAGGTAACTTCTTGGTCTCAACCTTAGACCCCGAGTCTGAAAGACAACAGGAAATTAAATGTTTCTGCTTTCCTGTGCTGAAAAAAAATGAAGATCCTACAATATAAATGCAGTTATCATTATTAATCATAACAAGTTATGATTACCAAAACAATAACTTTTTAGTGTTTTATCATGGTTTTGATGACCATATTAAAGGCTGTACAGAGATATTTAATAACCAGAATTCAGAACAGTCTATAATTTGAAAATGAGTAAGTCAAGATTTTATTTGTAGAATAACTTTTTTTTTTTTTTTTTTAGACGGAGTTTTGCTCTTGTTACCCAGGCTGGAGTGCAATGACGCGATCTCGGCTCACTGCAACCTCCGCCTCCCGGGTTCAGGCAATTCTCCTGCCCCAGCCTCCTGAGTCGCTGGGATTACAGGCATGCGCCACCATGCCCAGCTAATTTTTTGTATTTTTAGTAGAGATGGGGTTTCACCATGTTGACCAGGATGGTCTCAATCTCTTGACCTCGTGATCCACCCGCCTCAGCCTCCCACAGTGCTGGGATTACAGGCTTGAGCCACCGTGCCCGGCCTTGTAGAATAACTTTTATGCCATATACTGCACAATGAACTCCACAGGTTGGTAATTTGATAAACATATGTTTATTAGAGAAGATGTCTAGAAAAGACAAATCTACAGAGACAAAAGGTAAGTGGTTGCCTGGGGCTCGAGGTAGGAATGGGGATTAACTGTAAATGGGCATGAGGAATCTAATAGCGATAAAAATGTTCTACAACTGGATTATGTTGATAGTTACACACTCTGTAAATTTAGCCAAAATAATTTAATTATATTCCAGATATAGTTACTTTTATGATGTTTACCTCAATAAAGCTGTAGATTTTAAAAACCGTATTCTTAAGACCAATTAAAAAGAACTAGTAACAATTAGAATTGAGTACAGTCATGTGTTGCTTAACAATGGGATATGTTGTAAGAAATGCATTGTCAGGCAATTTCCTCATTGTGCAAACATCTTAGAGTACATTTACATAAACCTAGACAGTACTGCCAACTAAACACCTATGCTATATTATATAGCCTATTGTTCTTAGGCTATAAACCTGTACACGATGTTACTGAATTGAATCCTGTAGGCAGTTTTAACACTCTAAGTATTTGTGTATCTAAATATATGTAAATGTAGAAAAGTTACAGTAAAAATACAGTTTTATGATCTCATAGAACCATGGCCATATATGTAGTCTGTTATTGACTGGACTGAAACATCATTACGAAGCATATGACTATATTTAGATATTTAAAAAGGAGAAGACTTTAGCAAGAAGCAGGAAAAAACTCAGAAAAATAGGTAAGAGATTAAGCTAAAAAGAAGAAATCTATTATTTAGTAAAACAGACCAATGTAGCATAGGGTATAAAAGTCCAAGATTATATAAAATAACTACTTGTGTGTCAAACTGACTATACAGCCTGAGTGAATGTGGCATGATAAACAGAGGCTTTAGAATTATGCTGTCCAATATAGTAGCCATTAGTCACTTGTAGCTACTGAACAATTGAAATGTGGCTGGTTTAAGGTATACTATGAGTATAAAATATATGCCAGATTGTGAAGATTTACTACAAAAAGAAGTGTAAAATATCTCACTGTAAAAATATAGGTTATATGATATAATATGTTGGATATATTAGGTTAAATAAATATATTACTAAAATTAATTTTACCTGTTTGTGTTAGGAAGTTCTTGTATTGCTATAAATAAGTACCTGAATGGGTAATTTATAAACGAATAGGTTTATTTGGCTCATAGTTCTGCAGGCTGTACAAGCATGGTGCTGGCACCTTCTTGGCTTCTGGGGAGGCCTCAGTGAGCTCTTACTCATGGTGAAAGACAAAGTAGGAGAAGGCACATCACGTGGTGAAACAAGGAGAAAGAGAGTGTGGATGAGGTGCCACATATTACAACAACCAGCTTTTTTTTTTTTTTTTTTTTTTTGAGACAGAGTTTCGCTCTTGTTACCCAGGCTGGAGTGCAATGGCGCGATCTCGGCTCACCGCAACCTCCGCCTCCTGGGTTCAGGCAATTCTTCTGCCTCAGCCTCCTGAGTAGCTGGGATTACAGGCATGCACCACCATGCCCAGCTCATTTTTTGTAGTTTTAGTAGAGACGGGGTTTCACCATGTTGACCAGGATGGACTCGATCTCTTGACCTCATGATCCACCCGCCTCGGCCTCCCAAAGTGCTGGGATTATAGGCGTGAGCCACCGCGCCCGGCCAACAACCAGCTTTTGTAAGAACTCACTCCCTATTGCTAAGACATCACCAAGGGAATGGTGCCAAACCATTCATGAGAAATCCACCCCCATGATCCAATCACCTCCCACCAGACCTCACCTCCAACATTGGGGATTAAGTTTCAACATGAGATTTCAACATGGAACACAGATCCAAACCATATCACTGTTTTTAAATTTTTCTTTTAATGTGGATACTAAAAATGTTTTCAGTACACATGTGGCTCACATTATATTTCTATTTCTAGCTGTGCTTTAAAGGCAGACATTACTGGATTAACAGAGGTGATGTTCATTTAACTACATAACCTTGTGACACACTCGTTAACTTTATTACCATAAGCATATTACCTTTAAAATATAAATATAATCACCTATCACACAAGGTTTTCATGAGAATTGGAAATAATATGCAAACTTTCTGGCACATGCTATGACTTAATCTGCCATTCCAGTATTCAAAAAGCTGAGAACCAAAGCTTTCTTTCCTTTTGGAATGTTTGAACATTTGGAGTGAAACCCCATATGAAATGTAATGAGGCTATTCATAGCCTCCATTTATTGCTCTTAGGAAGTCTAGTCATTTGTCTTTGTAGCTACCTCCATGTGTTTGATTTTGGGGTGCTGCTTCAGCCCCTGCTGGAGTTATGTTATGTCACATATAGTATACGGAGTATGTTATGTCACATTTAGGATGTGACCTGTTTACCTTCCTAAAATCTGTACAATTCTGAATTGTAAAACACATCTTGCTTCAAGGGTTCTAGAGAAAGCTTTGTGGATCTGCAGTTGCTTAATAACTGGTAGTGGCTGCCATTATAATTATTATTAGTAGAAGTTCCACAAAATAACCAGACAAAATAAGGAATTAACACAGGAAGATAATGGAAATGTTTACAGTGAAGCTAGCAGCATCAGCAAAATAAGAAATTCATCCGATAGTGGATTCATCCTATACTCCTTCCCACCCCACATTCCATTAAGTCACATCAATTAAGCTGCTTCTCCCACTCACATTTTCCTAAAACTCTTAGCTTCCCTTCCTTTATCTTTGTACCTTCCTTTGTTCCTTCCAGTGTGGAATACTAACATATCCCCTCAGCCCATCTCCCCATCTTCAATGTCTAAGTACTTAAACCACACCGTATGCCAAAATTAATCCCAGGTGCATTAGTTCAATATGAAAGTACACAATCATTAAAAACAAAGTAAGATAATATGAAAGATACCCCAAATTTTAGAAACTAGATGGATTTCTAACTATGGAAATAAAAAGAAAAATTACAATATGAATGCCAACACTTCCAATCACACAAAAATGAAAAAACTTTCATATAACAAAAATAAGAGGTAAGTGAAACAAAAAGTCTTAGGAAAGAATAGGGAAATATTTGAAGTAAAATGTAATGTCAAATGGTTAATGCATTTTCTATATGAAAGCTCACTATACAATCAGAAAATAAAAATCAAAGTCACTGCTAGATAAAAACAGAAAGATCATGAAAAATAATTCACAAGAATAAGAAAAACAGAAAACAAATGTTAGTAAATCTACAAGAACAATTTATGGCCTATCCAGTATGGGTAAACCAATGTGGATATACAGTCTATCCACAAGGGCTCAAGAAACAAACTGGTACTTGGGAGGCTGAGGCAGGAGAACTACTTGAGCCCAGGAGTCTAAGGCTGCAGTGAGCCATGACTGCACCACACACTCCAGCCTGGGTAACATAAGACCCTGTCTCCTTAAAAAAACAAACAAACATGGTGGCTCACGCCTGTAATCCCAGCACCTTGGGAGACTGAGGTGGGCAGATCATGAGGTCTGGATTTCGAGATGAGTTTGACCAACATGGTAAAACCCTGTCTCTACTAAAAATACAAAAATTAGCCAGGAGTGGTGGCGCACGCCTGTAATTCTAGCTACTCAGGTTGAGGCACAAGAATTGCTTGAATCTGGGAGGTAGAGATTGCAGTGAGTCAAGATTGGGCCAATGAACTCCAGCCTGGGCAACAGAGTGAGACTCCATCTCAAAAAACAAATAAACAAACAAAACAACAACGAAAAAGAAGAAAGCAGAGGAGCCACATGGCTAAACAGAGCCCTCCAGCAATTGTCCCCTCTGCAGTAACACCAAATTGAACAACTATCCACACAAGAAAGCACTTTCATAGGAGCCAAAAATTAGGTGAGCAATCAAAGTATCTGGTTTTAACATCGTATTCAAAGAAAGAGGCACTGTCAAAGAAAGAGTTACTGATGAGGGTAGAAAAGATAGTCATAATTTGCCTGCACCATCCCTCCCCCAATGCCTGGCAGTGCAGCATGGCAACAAGAGAGAATCTGTGTGTTTGGAGGAGGAAGAATGGAGTGATTGTGAGACTTTGCATTGGAACTCAGTGTTGCCTTGTCACAGCAGAAAGCAACATGGGGCAGAATTTGGCCAGCACCCTCAGAGGAAGCATTTAGATCAGATCTAGCCTGAGAGGAATTGTCCACCACAGTGGTGGAAACTTGAGTTCCAGCAAGTACCTCCACCACAGACTAAAACACTCTGGTGTCCTAAGTAAATGTGAAAGGCAGTCTCGGCCACAAGGACTGTAATTTCTGGGCAAGTCCTAGTGCTGTGCTTCGCTCAGAACCAGTGGACTTGGGGTACATGCTACCCAGTGACACATGACACACTAGTGACACATCAGCTGGGGTGGCCAAGAGAGTGTTTGTA